TCGTCATCCTGAGATCAGTCTGAGACAGAAGGACGAGGGACAGGACCACAAGCCTAATCTTCCACTGATCCGGTAAGACGAGACAGAAGATGATATTTGATGAAGCAAACATGTTCTTCACACATGGATTTTATTCTTTCAATGGATACATAGCCTTCACATTTTTTTTTTTTTTTTTTTTTTTTTACAGAGCAGTTTTCCTCCTGAGAATATTACATTCCAGCATTACAGTACATCATGTTCTACACATTCTGATGATGCCCAGATGTTCGTTATGCACCTGAATTCACACACCTACACACACACACATTTCTCAGTATGCAGGACAAATTACTCTTTTCAGGGTCAAGCCTTTTGTGTTCTGTCTTTTAGTTCCTGAAAGCATGCGTGCTCTCTACATGTCTGTGCTACTCTATTCTCTTCTCCTGTCTCCGACAGGTATGTCAGCAGCTCATACACGCCATTACACATGAATGGCCGTGACATTGTAATATACATTTGTTCTGAAATGATGGACAAGGTGTGAAATAATGTTCTCGCCTCTTTCTGCCATTTCATGCTTTGACAGGAGCAGAAGAGAGCGATGCAGGCGGCAGAAGAGGCGAGAGGGAGAGACGAAGCCTGCCCTACTGGGGCCTGTGGGCGTCAGACTTTTCTTCGGGTGGCTGGAGGAGCTGCGAGCCCGGGCAGCTCACGACGGGATGCAGGACCTGGCTCGTACCTTCTGGGCTCACTTTACCGTCGGCAGCGAGCTGGGCTACGATCGTCCAGAGTCTGACTCCCAAGCTGAGGAGTGAGGCAGAGGAGAGACGGAGTAGAAGTCCCCTTTAACACCTGTTTAGATGTTTACAGTCAAGACGATCAATAGCAGTTTGTAGACTTAATAGAAGTGTCTTTTATTGAGTGGTTGAAGAGGGGTGGGGGGTCTCAAACAGAACATTAGGGTTCAATGGAAAATCTAAATTGAAAATGTTTACATCCGCACATCTTTCAGGGAATAAAAGGCTTTCGTTCTCTGATTTTGACTTTGGGATTTGTGTTTCGAGTGAGGAGTGTTTGTGGGGACTTTGTGGGGCATCTGGGAAGCTGTGTGCAACACACTAAAATAAATCAGACTCGGATCAGAACACTCAGATTGTCAAGTCAAGTCAAGTATGAGGAGAAAGATGGAAGCTGAGACAAACAGACTGGTGTGAAGGAACAAAAAGAGGAAATTAGAGCAAAGTTTAAGTTTTAGAGAAACAAATGTGTATCTCTGATCTGACGGTGTCTCAGTTCACACATTCCCTGGGTAAGAAACAAACATGTTGCAATGACAAATTATCTTTGTCCAAGAAGGCTCTGACGCGGAGAGAATTTCATGTTTTTGAGAGCCAACAGAAAAAGCTTTGTGCCTGAATCAGAGTCTCTTCTTTCCGGCACAGTGTGTGGCACAGTACATTTGGACAGGGAACAATAAACTGAAGGCCAGATGATGCATTCAATTTTTTTGGTGACCTAGCACAGCTATCTGAATGGCAACGAGCCTTCCTTTTCACAGCAATCAATTGGCAATCAAAAGCGACGATTTGTGCCTTTTACTGATCTTTGCAGCACACCAGCCATGCCGCAAGAGCACTTGAATAATCAAACCAGTTCATTCCACTTCAAAATGAGTTGACCGCTGTTCTCTTCAGTGCCCGGTGTGTGAGAGCTGGAGAGGAAAAAAGAGGCTGTAAAGAGCCTCTCAAAAGAAGATGTGGCCACTTTTGTTAGAGCCTCATTGATGAAATGAGAATAGCAAGAGTTTGACAAACGCAATCATCCTCTATCTGCATTCTTAGGCCTTCCACCTCTTTCTGTCTTTTGTCATGTGGCTCACTTCACCTTCTTTCCAAATCCTTCATGAAAGTATAGAGCAATCGTCTGCCAGCTTCTGGGTTTCCTGCATTCCAGCTCGGCCTGTGAGAGACAGAGAGACTGTTTGTAGTTCCAAACCAAACGCTTTCCCTCTGTGACACACAGACACATTCAAAACGTATTACAAGTTCAAGCCCCGTCGAGTGAGACTTTCTGAATGAAACCTCTATAAAGTAACAGTTTATCAATCAGTGTAGTATCAGAAAGGTTGTGATCCAGTCATTAAAGTGAGGCTATAACGTGATGAACAATGTACACAGTCTTCCCTTTAAAAATGAAAAGTTGATTTTATAAGAAATAAAACACTCTCTTGCTCAATTTAATGCACTCAGCAGTTTGCAACTACAGCCTTTCTTGGTGTGGTATGACGAGTAGCTTACGGTTACAACAGCCCAGTTCGAACGGCGATGTGCACTTCGTCAGCTGAAATGGAGGAAGTGGATAACAGTGGTATCTGCCTGGGCTAAAGTTTAGTAATTCATAACCCATGGGGAGGATTAGCTGGAGCATTAAATTGTGAAAACAATTAGACTGAAATATGTTTAAAGTCGCTCTGCATTCAGCTTCATCTGCAGCGTCACTTTTTAAACTCGCTATACTCGATACCTGAAGATAAAAACTAAAAAACCTGTTTAATATTCTTGGCTGGTATTTAGACTCCCCCTGAGACTGATAAATTGCAATCCTGACTCTTTTCCCAGAGCAAAGTGCATGACAACAAACCACATTCAGGTAAATGGGAGCTCTGCTTTTTCTTCCTTCCCACTGCTGCTCATGTCCTGCTATACATATGGGAGATGGAAAAGTACCTTGGACACACATGAAAATTCATTTAAGAGCAGAGAATCTCCCAGGTGCAGCCTGCAGGCGAGGAGGTAGACGACATTCCACCCCCATAGGCGAGTTTCCACTTGGAAAGTCTGGGTTGCCGCCCACTCTTCGATCTGGATGTGCAGCAGTTTTAGGAACAGTTGTTGCTTTTAATGTACAGACTCTGAGTGGATACGAGATGGCATCTATTTGAGGTTAATGGGGCTGGCTGTGTTGCTGACCTTCATTGCTCTTAGAGGTGAGCTCAATCTCGCTCTTTTCTTCTGCTTGGCTTTTTTTAAACAGCTAAATTGATCTTTGACTGCTGTTACTTAAGAGAATGCTCGTTCTTAGAAAACATGAAAAGGAAAAAGCAGACAGACGAGGAAAATGAAAAAACAGTAAAGGGAAAATATGGACTCATTATAGCACGAAGGAACAAATTGAAAAGGCCATAAGCAGTTTTATGCAAATTACTTTTCATCAGTACAATTTACAGAAACACAAAGAACCATTACGTGATTCACTCAGAGGCAGAGATTTTAAGTAGTATACGTCAAGCTCTAAATAAATCCTACACTTCCCATAATGCACCCTGTGTTTTTTTGTTGGACCATTTACCCAGCATGTGATGTTTCTGAGGTCATTTGGTCGTATATAAACTGAGTGACGGCCCCAAAAAACGATTTTTCTTTGTCAGTTTCTTGCTATAACCAATGAGTAAAATAGACAAAATCAAAATATGTTCTGCTTCAGTTGAAACACTTTATTTCATAGGTCTTTCTGTGCCGTTTCCTCTTCTCACTGGTTTGGAGTGGGCGGGCCTCAGGTGGAAAAATGTCAATTAATCAAGGAACATATAAAAGAAGGAAAAATCATGAAGTCACTGAACTCACATTTGTGCCACACCGCTAGTATTCTACATGGATTTGATTCTACTTCAGCATCTCTGGAGTCAGTGACTAACCAACCATCACATTTTTAACGATATGTAATAATGTTCACGAGGGCCAAATTTCTTATTATTGTCAGGAGGTGATGCTAATCTCCAGATTTGACATGCTTCTCTAAATCTAAACCGTTATACTGGTCCACGATGATGTCATAACCATTCCTTATTGTGTATATATTCCTTGGCATATTGGGATTGAGAAATATTTAAACCAAGATTTGTTGACACTTGCCAAACACTGATCAAACCACACCCGGACAATCTGATGAAGCAGAATAGTAAACTCTCAGAGGGGGGGGGGGCTTTAAACCTGGCTGAACAGATAAAACGGACAATAGAAATGTAGTAATTTTGATCTTTGTTTCTTAGGTATGTGGATGAGAAAAAGGTGGAAAGCTGATGTAAACTGTAATCTTGTCTTGATGTCTAAACGACAATCTTTTCAAAAGGCACATTCATCCCCACAATGTTGCCGTCTCTTGAGTGACTGAATAAATACGAATGGCATCGGCAAGGCATGAATTCCCTCTCACACCTCCACTTAGAGCCAGTTTCAGCTGTCTTTCAGGTCAGCGACTCATGTAGAATTCACCAGGAATAGCTAGGATTGGAGGGAACATAAAACAAGAGCAGCAGAACAAAAAAAAAAAAAAAGGAGTGAAGTGCACAAAATGACCTCGGTGACAGATGGCCTTTTTTTTTTGTCAGCCAGTGTAGCAGTGATTCTCACACAGCCCCATTGACGACACCCGTGTGCGCCATTTGCTGTTGAGCCCTTGAAAAGGCCAAAGCTGTGAAAGCAATGGCCTTTTCAAGGTTTGTATTGTCTGCAAATCTATTTGCCACAGCTGCGCCTCGTGTAGACACCTTATCGGCTGCCTCCGTCTTATTAGCGTCACATTTGTTGAGCCTGAGAAGTCTAACGAGTCACATCTGTGGTGTGTTTTTTTTTCTCCCTCCCCAGAGGCTGGAGACTGATCCGTCGTACTGGATGGACCAGGCTCGCTCCACTGACCAGGGGCGGCAGCACCACTATGATGAAAACGCCCCCATCGGCCCGCGTGACCCTGGTTCTTACAGACACGGCGCCAATGTCAACTACGACTACCACTGACAGTCTGTTAGCATGACACATGCCATCAGCCGTCATTACCCCCTGTACTCCACAGCTGATGCCTGACTCTTCTCTTATCACTAGATTATTCCAAATAAAGACGTGGCTTCGTACTGCACAAGTCCTCTGCCTTTTCCCTTCCACTAAACAATAATAGTAGAAATGTATCACACACACTCACACACATACAAATATTGTCTTCCCTAATGATATCATACGCCAATATATTGGAAATATTTTATTAAAATAGCATCTGAAATTAATAACAGCACATCCTGACATGAGATTTCACAAATTAGAACACGATGACATTCTGATAAACTTGTAATAAACGCGTAATGATGCTGTAACAGTCTTTCTAGAGGGACTGCCCGGTCCTGCAGTGTGCTGCGTAAACAGCCAACAGCCACGCAGCATCCAGTGGAGAAACAGCATCTCTGGAGACAAAACACCCCGAAACTGATCAAAAATAAACACAAAACACTGATGCACAGTTTGAGCTGTTTTCAAGATTCTCACATCTTAAATTTAAATAACAAAAAGCACAAATTCACAAGAAATAAAAGTAGGCTCTGTTTCCGATGTCTTGCCTCATATTTCCATCACCCAAGCTCCGGTATGGAAAGCCCCTTTTTCCCGCAGCGCAGCCAACGTGAGGCCACACAACACTTTGAAAGAGGAAGTTGTCTCTGCTTCTGAAATGAAAATAGACACCATATCCAGGAGTGTATTTCAGAGAGTTGACCAGCAAGGGTCCTCTGAGGAGTCTCAGCATCCTGCTGTGTTTTGGGAGAGTCAGCGGTGGAAGACCTGACCTCAGTTGTGTCTGGGTCTTCCTTTCTTCATGCGGGCGGCTTTAGGTTTGGGGATGTACTGGTTGTTGGCCTGATGCTCCAGTTCCCTGCTGAAGTACTGGATAGTTTTGTTCAAGCCCTCCTCCAGGGGCACCTGTCCACACGAGACACAACACACAATACATAAAGATACAGAGTTTAAACAGAAACAAAGATAAATGCTGAACAATGTGTTATATGCTATTACTCATTCAGAAAACCAATAATACTCTTTGTAAATTATGAAGTAATTGTCAATCTATTTTAAAACCTCATGTATCCCAGAGTTTGCCCCCCCCCCCCCCCCAACAGTAAATGCATGCTGAAAAATCAATATACATTTCAGGGTATTAGAGTTTAATTCACAAATGATGGATACGAAACAAATGACTTGTCATCTTCTAAAAATAAATGCAATTTATCAAATATCCATCTATTATTCAGGTTTGTTACGCAGGGCACGTACAGACAGACAATTATTCACGCTCACATTCACACCTACGGGACATTTAGAGTCATCAATTAACCTAAGCTGCAGGTCTTTGGACTGTCAGAAGCCAGAGAACCCGGAGAGAACCCGGAGACAGTGCTCGCTACTACACCACCGTGCAGGGACATCAAATACGTACTAAACCAAAAAAGACTTAAGAAAATCTTCACTATTAGCATTAGATCAACATAGTTGGAAAAAAATGCTCATATTGAGATATGTTAAGTGGTTTTATAATTCTATGTAATGATAAGTATAGTTTAGCTTTTTTAACTTTCTACTCTGTGACTTTAAATACTAAGTCAAACACTGATATCAACAGAATGTTGTAATAATGATTTCTGATATTAATCAACCTCTGTATAAAAATAGTGTCTGCTCTCCTACACATTACAGTCGTTGTGAATCTCCCGTGCAACACTAATGAGCAGTCAGAGGAGGAGACACTGATCAGTTATTGTAACTGGTTGGTCAGATCTGCAGCATCGTTACACCCCGCGGGGCTATAAGCTGCGTTTCACCGTCTACAGTTGGTTTGCAGGACATTGCGTGTGCGCGTGAGTCTGCCGTGTGTCACACATACCACCGGCTCCCAGCCGAGCAACATCTTGGCTTTTCGAATATCAGGTCTTCTTCTCTGTGGGTCGTCCTGGGCCTCTGGAAGGAACTGGATCTGACTTCGGCTCACTGTGCGTGTGAGAGAGAGAGAGAGAGAGAGAGAGAGAGTGTGTGTGTGTGAGAGCAAGCATGTATGTTCACGGACAGTTACAAGAGTACAGAGTGGGAGACATGTTATTCAACATATAACATAAAGCAAATGTTGATCATGAGAGAGATGAGTCACGGCAGATTGATGCTCTTGTGTGTCGTGATGGCTTCATGTGGAGGTTATGTAACTCTGCCAGATGTAGTGCTGGAGCTGCAACTCCTAAAGATGTAATTGCTGGCTATGGAGACACCACATCACACCAGCACAGTCATGAGCGGGCTGCTTGCTTATTCTCCTCCATGTTTCTGATCATACTAGAGATTACTCATAGTGAAAAACAACAGACTGCAAATTGAAGAAAAAGCCTGTTTTTCTTCTCCTTTTTTAATGTTGCTAGATTATAGTCATTTAGCAAAGCCACTTCCAACGCCAACATTGGACACAGACATTGCTGTTGAGTTGTTTTTTTAATGCACCACAAGCCGATTGCCATATAGTTCTATTATATTCGAGAAAAGGCAGACATATTTACGTCCGATATCTCCAAAACTAGGCAACTCACACCAAAAAATTTTTTTTTGATAATGAGGTGAACTGTCCCTTTAAGAGATTAACAGGTAAGTATCCAAGGCTTGAAAGGGAAAAGAGTGTTCAGAGACACACGGAGTGACAGCTACCCGGAGGGATTGGAGGCCTTACCGACGAGACTTTTGATGAGACGCGCAAACTCCAATATGGTGTGTTCCTCTGGGTTCCCCTGCAAACACATCACATACACTTTCATCACATCAGTGTCGACATGACAGAAATATAAAATGACACACAGGTCATTTTTCGATTTCAATTTCAAACAGGGTACGATGAACTCACCAGATTGACTGGACTGCTGATGTTACTGTTCATCAGCAGCACCAGGCCGTTCACCAGATCACTGGAGAGCACATCAGACACAGAAGCAGAGTCGTTACATTGGGTCCTCTTCTATTAAATGTCACTGTGTAGCTCTGCTATGTGCGAAGGATCCTGCATGACCATGAAGTTATTGTACATGTAACGTCATCGATTTCACATAATTCCTCAGCTGACCTGGACCAATATTGCTTTTTGCATTGAGCACATTATCACAGTGGAGCCAGCAGAGACATGGCAGCTGCAGCATGAGTGAAAACACGCCGTATAGACATTTAAAGATGTTTTAGTATTACTATTGTGTCATGCATACAATATCCAGTCAGTCTTGCATGACAGAAAATTAATAGAACCAGAATCAGTCAGTCAAAATGAATACTTACTGATGATAAATATACCATGTAATTATAACCTAATGGAGAACATGCCTTTCTCCAACTGTGGAACTACATGTTGACCACACAGATGGGCACACACAAGTCATTAGCACAATTCTGTCGACATGGATTAGACTTTATTATTAGAAATGACATGCGAACAGAAATAATGACGGGCGACCTCACCTACCGCTGGTGGGGGAACAGTGGACGCTCTAAACACGGCACCATATCCAGATCCATAAGCACTTTCAGTATATTGCAACACACTTCAACAAAGGAATGTGTGTGTAGACACATATACATATATATATATACATATATATATACATACATATATATATATACATATATATATATACATATATATACATATATATACATATATATATACATATACATATACATATACATATACATATATATATACATATATATACATATATATATATATATACATATACATATATATACATATATATATATATACATATATATATACATATATATATA